GTCTTTGGAACAGGAGTAGAGGTTTATCCTCAGTTTCCTGTTTAGGATTGCGTTTCCTGTTCCTTCTAAATTTTTCTTATTGTCTTTCAGTTTCAGTAGTTTTTGCGTCTTGGCGGCATTATCGCCTTGCTTGGGGTGAAATGATTCATATATATATATATATATATATATATATATATATATATATATATTTCCCCAAACTATTGTTTTTCTTTATTTTTATTTCTTAAAGTTTATTGTTTTTAGTTTAAATTTTGGGCGAATTTTTTTTTTTTTTTATTTCCGTCTGTTGGCGAATTTTATTTACTTTTTCGTCTTTGGGGGAAAATTTATTTGACATTGTTTTATTTCTCTTAGGTAATTTTTGGTGTAATTTGTTTTTAGTTTCACCAAATCTTCATTATAAATTAGCGTAATTTATTTGTTTTCTTATCTTTTTTCGAACTTTTTGGCTTACTTATTTTCAATAGTTTTTCTTTATTGTGTTATATCCATTCAGTTTTACACAGTTAATTTTTCATCATTTATATTTCTTGATTTGATTTAAATTATTTTAAACTACTTTTGCAGAAGAAATTCTTATTGGAATTTAAGTTTTATTGTATGTTCACTTTCTTCCCTCCCCCACTCCATTAAAATATAATTTTTGTCACAACGGAGGAGAATAATTTTTCAGTATGGCCGACAAAAATCGGTCAGTGGGAAAGACCTTTTGGAGTCTGCCTCTAAGGCAGGCGCATCCAATAAAGGGAAAATAGATTATGGGTTGAGTCAATCCCTAAACCCCAAAGTAATGAAGACAAGACGAAAAAGACCAATACAATTAATTTTGACGAGAATGTGCAAAAATAAACAGAGCCACTAAAGAATTTGACAGTCGCGAAATCACCCACTTGCTGGACGTCCTCACCGAAATTTATTATTAGCATCACGGATTGTTTTGGAAAAAACCAGAAGCTACGGACATTTAAGATGGACTTTTGGAAGACCTCCACAAAATTACAGAAGTTCGAAAAGAAAATGGTGGACAAGCGTACGCGCAAAATTTGGCGCACCACGAAAAACGTAGTGATCCTATCACTGACGTTTCTGGGGGTCACACTGCAAAGATTTATAAAATATAACGGATTTTTCATGTGGGACGAACTGCTGCCAACAGCCGAGAAATGTTTAGAGGAGGTGAGACGTGAGCTGATAACGAAAGACCTAATCATAAGAGTGGAATATGAAGACAGGCGTTGTCCCCACCCAGTAGCTGTATATGAGGTCCCTTTTAAGGTGATAGGAGAGCACATGACTGCCTACTTTAGTGAGTATAGCCAAATCCTAGGTGCTACCGCTCACAACCTGAACAGAGGATAGAGCTTCGATATTATGATCGATCGTCTGGCTTTCGTCTCCGTCACAAACTGTTTAAGCTCTTGCGGGCGGAAAATGCCAGTCATCATGACTGGCAGAAAACCAACTTGTGATCTTCGGCGTCTCGGGCTGAATATATGCTGTGTACAGGAGATCCGTTTTTTCTTTTTTTTTAACTCGTGACAGTGAATGTATTCTAAGAGGTCTCACCTCTATTCATCATGTTTTGATGGACGCTCGAGTGGTGTTTCCTGGCAGGTGAGCAAGTGTTGGATGCAGCGTGTGCTCTTGTCTTCGTAAATCCGGCGGGCAGTCTTTGCCTGCTGGATATTACCATAATGCTTCAGGCTCATTGGGCAATACGCGACCTATGACCATGTGCAGTGGCCTGATTTGTTTCGGCGGATCGATCTCTTCTTGACGACATGTCGTTTTAGCAGGGGATTAGAATGGCGTCCTTAACCGAAAAGTCATTTCGGTACTTTATCGACAGGTTATATAAATAAAAAATATATTATATAGAAATATAAATTGTTGAAAGGCACCCTAGTTTTTTGTGGAGATATGATTTGAAAGTCATCTTTTGAAAATTCTTTTGTTTGTTTATCAACTCCTTCATTGGTCATTTAACAACGAAATTTAATTTTCTTGGGAGCTCTGAAGTAATAAAAATATATGTTATTCTGCTTTCATAATCGGGTACATGGTAGATAATACTCAGCGTTTGTGCATATACATGTTTGTGTGGAGATGATTTATAGAGGTGATGACGTGTGTGTTTTATGTTGTAATTTTGTTGAAGTTATAGTTTGGAATACAGTTTGATTTATTTAAGAAATTGTTGGACATTATATGGATGAATGTCATGAAAGAGTTCTTTCATATTGGTTGGTTAAACTTGTTTAGCGACATAACAACGTCTATGGATTATTTAAAACCGAAATCTAAATATTTTTAAAACAAGTTTATTGCTTCAAATACAGATAAAATCTATTGTTGGTAATTTTGCTATAAATATGTATCGTTGGTAAATCTTCTTTTATATAATAATGTATTGCTAGGATTTTTAATATAAAATGTATTTTTATATTTTCATAGTGTTTTGTTTTGGTTTTAAATGGTATTTTTCCCTAACGGACACATTTTGTTTATCACGTTTTCTCGGGTACGTAGGACGAAATAAATACTGTGGTTTCACTATATGCCCATAGCTGGGACCCTAACAGGTGCTACTACCCTGGTAAGGGTATTTTATATATATATATATATATATATATATATATATATATATATATATATATATATATCCTTTCACTATTGCATACATGGTAGATGATACTCCACTTTTGTGTATATACATGTTTGTGTGAAGATGATTAGTAGAGGCGGTGATATGTGTGTTTTATGTTGTAGTTTTGTTGAAATTATATTTTGGAATACAGTTTGATTTCTTTAAGAAATCGTAGAGAATTATATGGATTAATGTCCTGAAAATGTTTTTTTTCATCTTGGTTGTTTGATTTGTTGATTTTGTTTAGCGCCATATCAACACCTCTATGGGTTATTTATTGCCGAAATTTAAATATTTTGAACGCAATTGCATGTCTTCAACTACAGATAAAATGTATTGTTGGTCACTTTTCTACAAAATATATTTCTGGTCATTTTACTATAAAAATGTATTGCTGGTCATTTTACTATAGAAATGTGTTGATGGCCATGTTACTATAAGAATGTATTGTTAGTCATTTTACTATAAAAATGTATTGCTGATCATTTTATCATAAAATGTATTTTGATACTTACAAAGTCTTTCGTTTTTGTTTGAGCGTTCACTATTTGACGGTAGGTGGGACCCTAACAGTGCTGCCACCCCATGTCAGATTGAACCTGAGAACAACAGCAGTTATGAGGTGGTTTCACGTTCCTCAAAACCGCCAATCTCCTTATCAGATGCCTTGCTGCTGGATGTAGTTTATCGTCATACCCAGGACAATTACTTCGACTTTCAAGCAGCACATAATGTGTGTCCGTGTATGTCTACGTAGATCAATATGAATGCGTATTTTGTTGCCGTAACCGTACGCATACCTGTGTTAGCGGCACTCTAGAAGTGTGTGTTTCTTAAGAATTAATATGACGCAGGTGTGAGATTTTTGCCGCCTACCTCGTCTCTCTCTCTCGATCCAAACAATAATCTTTCATTAAAATTCGGTCTGCAAGTGATGACATCTCCTAGGGATTGAGGCGAGCAGCTTTCATTATGGCTAAGTACTGTGTTGAAAAGCAAGGAAATTTAAATTATACGTGCTGTGCGGACGCCAATTTTGCTTCCCATGAAGCACCGCGTGATTTTTAAGAAAATATTTTGAAACAAAATATTATTAGTTTCGAAAGATGTGCGGCAAACCTTCAGTGAACAGCGCAGAAGATCAAATTTTCGATGTGCGTTCAATTTCCAGCTGAGAAAATTCGACCTCAATTCATATTAATACCCACGGAGAAGGTTAGAAATCTTCTTTTCTTACCATAGGCTAAGTGACACTGCATTATCTAGCATTGGCTGGCAATCAGTCTAGGAGAAAGGGTTAGCAATCACTCAAGGTTTGTTCGTTTGACCGATTGATTTTTATGGCTTATCAACCTATAACAGGTTATTTAAAGCCATAAAATATTTTAGACTAAGAATTTGATGTGTGTGTGTGGGGGGGGGAAATGATTTAGTAATACAAGTTCTACTAATTATATTGATATATATATACAAGTTCTATTAATTATATATATATATATATATATATATATATATATATATATATCTCTACTCTTCCGTCGAATTCGACGTATGAGGGTCAAGCAGATCAGTTCCTAGAAAACTGACGACCCGACGCCAGCACATGAGATTTGATCATAGTGGTGAAGTTTTTGTGCAGAACCATCCACACTTTTTGAAGGGCCGAATACAGAGACTTGGTGTACTACATGCCACAAGGTCCCTAAACGACCCTTCGCAGGTTTTGAATTCAGAGTTGTCCGTCTCCTAGACCAGTTGCCATCCAAGGCTATAGAACCCAGTCTGTCCTGCTATTTACCTATAGTTGGAGGGAGAAGAAGAGGATTCACACCTTTCCCAAGTGAATGTAATGTATTCGGCTGAATTCCAACACGGGTCTCCTATTCCTCAATCTGTAACCACTACTCCACTTTTATATATATATATATATATATATATATATATATATATATATATATATATATATATATATATATATATATATATATATAAATATTTTATGACCGCCATGAAAAGACAAAATTTATTTTTATTAGCACTCATGAAGATAAAAAGTAAAACTGAAAAACAGGCTAGCTAACCGGTTTCGAACCTCACTCAACAGAGCTAAATCTTGGGTAATAAATTATAATGGAATTATCACTAAAAAAGAGGGTTTTTTGGCGGGGGGGAGTCGTTTTAGTGATAATTCTATTAGAAGAAGATGATGACGATGAAGAATTACAAGCTTATGTAGTTGTGGAGACCAATGATCGCCTACGCCAAGAAGAAGAAGAAAAAGAATTAGGAGAGAAAAAAAAACTTTGCTAAGAACTACAAAGGATAGGAAGTTGTGGAGAGCAATGAAGGCCTACGTTCTGGAGAGACACGACGCATACAAGAAGAAGAAATGTCGGAAGACAGGGATTAGGAGAGATAGACAAAGAATTATAAGGATAAGAAGCTTTGGAGACCAATGATTGTCTACTACGACAAGAAATGAAAGAAGAGAGGGATTAGGGTAGATAGCTAAAAGACAAACTTTGCTAAGAACTACAATGGATAGGAAGTTGTGGAGATCAGTGATCACCTACGTCCTCAAGAGATGCGACACATACAAGAAGAAGAAGAAGAAGAAATGAAGGAGACAGGGATTAGGAGAAATAGCAAAAAAACAAACTTTACAAAGAATTACAAGGATAAGAAGTTGTGGAGACCAATGATCGTCTACCTCCTAAAGTAATACAGTACAAAGGAGAAGAAGAGGTGAAAAAGAAAGAAAAGAGACAGAATTGATAGAGAAAGAAAGAAAAGAGACAGAATTGATAGAGAAAGAAAGAAAAGAGACAGAATTGATAAAAAAAGAAAGAAAAGTAACAGAATTGATAGAGAAAAAAAGAAAAGAGACAGAATTGATAAAAAAAGAAAGAAAAGAGACAGAATTGATAAAAAAAGAAAGAAAAGAGACAGAATTGATAGAGAAAGAAAGAAAAGAGACAGAATTGATAAAAAAAGAAAGAAAAGAGACAGAATTGATAGAGAAAGAAAGAAAAGAGACAGAATTGATAAAAAAAAGAAAGAAAAGAGACAGAATTGATAGAGAAAGAAAGAAAAGAGACAGAATTGATAAAAAAAAGAAAGAAAAGAGACAGAATTGATAGAAAAAGAAAGAAAAGAGACAGAATTGATAGAAAAAGAAAGAAAAGAGACAGAATTGATAGAGAAAGAAAGAAAAGAGACAGAATTGATAAAAAAAGAAAGAAAAGAGACAGAATTGATAGAGAAAGAAAGAAAAGAGACAGAATTGATAGAGAAAGAAAGAAAAGAGACAGAATTGATAAAAAAGAATGAAAGTACAAAAAAAGAGGCAATAACAAATAACAAGGAGGAAAGAAACTAAAACAACCCCTCCCCCCCAAAAAGAGACAAGACAGAAAGAACGTATCAATGGCGATGAAAAGCGGAAAGAAGCAAACGAAGAGATCTAATGCAAGAGAGAAAAATAAAAAAAAGGAAAAACAAGACGGATGTTATGGAGGGAAAAAAGCTAGGGTTAAAGAGAAGGGTTGTTTTATGATTGATAAGTTTTTCACGACTTGTCAACTTTTTTGAGGTTATTTAAAGCCAGAAAATATTTTTTATATTTTAAGAACATTTTTGGATATAATAATGATCCACTGGTAGAAGTCTTACTAATTAACCCATAGCTGGGGGAGAAGAGGCGGTTTCATCACTTTCGCAAGGATATTTACGCCTAATTGAATCTAACGAACCCAACTAAAACTAGAACTCTCCTCTCTTATTAAAAATTACGACCTATTAACATTACATCTCCCGCATGTATTACCAAGCGGCCACCCATCTAGATACTGACCAGGTTCGACGTTGCTTAACTTCAGTGATCGTACGAGAACCGGTAGTTTTAACGTGATATGGCCGTAAGCCACAAGAGAAAGAAAAGCGAGAAAAAACGAAGGGTAGAAATTCGTAATGCGTCAGTTGACATTTTTTTTTTTTTTTCTTTATTTTTTTTTACTTCTCCCTTTCCACGTGACTGAAGTCGGGATCTGATCCCGAAACAAATCAAAACCAATCAAATTATAATCAAAATTAAATTAAATCTAGAAGGAAAAGAAGAAAAAATTTTTTTTAAAAGACCATCCTCCTTAAACGGACCCATCTTTGTTTAATCTCGTCTCAATCACGTTCGAACGAGAATACTTTTTTCTAATTTTTTTTTTTTTTTTTTGCAATTTATTTTTCTTTTGATCTCTTTATTTCTTTATTTATTATAGATTTTCGTTTCAGCAAATAGAAATGAACAAACCCGATTCCCCTCGTTCCAGGGTCGGAGATGATGATATCTTGGATATTTGTATCTGGGGATTTTTGAGGCCAAAAATGGTTTTCTTCTCAACCAAATTGACCGACATTGGATTTTATTTTATATTTTTTTATTTTTTTTTATTAAATTCGCGTTTTATGTATTTCCGAGTATTTTTCTATCTTTATTTCTCTTTTTATTTTTTAATTAAAAAAAAAAAAAAGTTTGTTAAACCCCATCCTTTCACATTTGTTCATTCGTTAATTCATTTATTCCTTCATTCTCTTATTCCTTCATTCACTTATCCCTTCATTCAATTATTCCTTCATTCCCTTATTCCTTCATTCACTTATTCCTTCATTTTTTTCTAATTTTTTTCTCTTATTTTTATTCAGTCTCACAAATATCATCTTAGTTTCCAAATCGATATTTACTGATGATAAGCGTAGCTTAGTCTGGCATAAGGCCATACGTATTGAGCTCCTAATGAGGATCAAAATCATTACTGTTTTAATGATATTTGCTTAGCTGAGTTTGACTCAAGATCAAAAATGTAGGGGATCCAGGTGTCGGCGAAACGAGCTTGCTATCTCCTCCTCCATCACGAAAATTCTTATTCTTCTACATACCGTGTCCTCCAGGACGTGGCTGATTATGGCTCTCCGCAACTTCTTATCCTTTGTAGCTGTTAGTAAGGTTTGTCTTTTTGCTATCCCTTCCAATCGATGTTTTGCTATCCATTTACACAAGCAGGGTATTGGTTATTTTTCACTGGGCGTCTTGCCTTCAATTTGCCCTGTGAGTGTCAAATTCCCCAAGCCGTTTTTCCTTGTTATATGTGCCAGAAATTCCAATTGTCTCTTTCTGATTCTAAGTGTCCATTTAGTTTCCATTTTCCTTAAATCTTCTTCGTTACTCACATGTTCAGTTTAAGCATCCATCTGTAGAATCCCCCTTCTGTTGTCAAAAGTCTCTTCATCTGCCAGGAAATTGTTCAACATTCGCTGACCTAGAGGAGGACGGGTATTGCATAGCAGTTTAGTACTGTTTTCTTTGTTTCTAACAAAATTTTCCTCTTTCTTAATACTTCTCTGGACTTCTGGAAAGCATCTTTCGGTGTCGCAATTCTTTGGCTTTCGGTGTCACATTTTCCAACCTCTGTTATAGCATTCCCTATTTTCGATTGATTCTGATATTGATTTTGATGACTTTTAGTTCTTTCACGATCGTCGTTTTCTTAATTTTTTTCTTAATTGTAGATTTTCTTTTATCCTTTTTTTTATTTTTTATGTTTTTATCAACCTTATAAAACGGAGATTTTCAGCCGGTGTCACGCAGCACACTGGTGGGTCATGAGAGAACGGTAGGCGTGCCGTAAAAATCTTTAAAGGTCATTAATTAAATTATTTTCGCAAGAAGCTCAAAGCTTAATAAGTGTACATGTAAAAATTAAAACCCCATTAAATTGATTATATATAAGGGACCGGAAACTCAACACTAAACAGGAAACAAGGGATAAACCTCTACTCCTGTTCAAAAGGCCAGGGTGGAGTGTGAACCGGACGATCTTCGTTATATATTATAAAGGTATATATAATATGTAGAATAATTTAAAAAGTAAGCTTTTCTCTAATAAACAATATTAAAAGCAAAAAGCGATCACGGCTAGAATAAGATTTAAGAATATTCCAGTTCAAATGTTGACCATTCAAGAAAAAACGTTCAGATATCTAATTACAGTAGAGTCTGTCATATCCGGCATCCCTCATATCCGGACATGATTTTGATGTGTGCATTTGAACTATTTGAGTGATACATAACTAATTTGAAATTTCCGTTTTTCAGGTAATTTACTTTCGATAATTGCTTATGCTTATTTCACCCTAATGGCTTTTATTGGTGCAAAAGATGATGGGAATAAGAGGAAAAGATGACAACGAGACAAATCTGCGACGAGATGCATGATTGTGATGAAACATGGACTGAAATTGAAAAAGCTATTGAAAAGATTGTCAGTTTTATGGAAAGAAAGCTAGCATTCAACTATGACGATTGCAATAACGCACGCAGAGTTAAAAAAAAAGTGTCTTTAGTTTAAAAAAAATTTAAGAACAAAAGCAAAACGAAATGCGGAAAAAGTTGAAAATAACATTAGAAGAGAAAGAATCATCATACAACAACGATTAAAAATCTTCGTTACATTATTTGTTTTACATACGTGGCATATTTAATTTAATGAATTTTCATTAACATTACATAATTTATTTTTCCTTAAAATCAATTTCGTTATATTTCTCTAGCTATAGCTTATTTTTTTTTTTACTATAAAACATTGAAAATAAATGTTAAACATGATTTCATTTGTTTTATTTTAATCTAAATATAACCCCCTCATATCCGGATTTTGTAACCAATTCCTCATATCCGGAAGGCCTTCTTAGGCCGGTTGTCAAAGATACTACTGTAAATTTTAAATTATGATAAACGGAAAAATAAGTTTTTTAAAGGATTTTAATTATTATATTTTTATTTAAAATTATAATATTTGTTTTGTTTGTGTTAATATACAATTCATAAAAAACATAATCTTTTTTTTTTTAACTGTTTTAGATCAACATAATTTAACCCTAGAACACTAACCATCAATTAAAGTTACACCACTACTAACCATGGGTACACCATACCCGATTTTGAAAATATCAAAAAAAAAAAAATATTTTACATGCAGGCACTTCAAACTTTGTACTTTGAGTTAGCATTAATAGAAACTGAAAAACATTATTTAGGTAAGAAAATCAGGTACTGAAAATTGTAATTAAAAATAGCAAAATTTGCGCTGGGTACTATATACCCATGGTTAGTGTTCTAGGGTTAAGTGTGCCGCGGAAGTTTAACTCTACGTTCACGTGTGCCTTGACATAACAAAAGGTTAAAAATACACATGGCTAGAAGATATGAAAACTAAATTTCCTTGCAACTTTTACATTCATTCTTTAACAGTTGACATTCAATCCTCATTGGGTACCCCGCTGGCTATGATGGCTTGTTTTGGTTTTGGTAGCCGAGTTAACAAAAGACAAAAATCAAGCTGTGAGCTTCGTATTGCTAACCAGAAAATGAAGTTAATACAGAAATTCGTCTATCAGAGTAATGTAGTAACAGATGGCGTAAAAAGTGGCACAGAAATCCAAAGAATTGGAGTTGCGATAGTTGCCTTCCAGAAACTAAGAAAATTATTAAGAAAGAGGAAAATCTGATGAGAGACATAAAAGAGCATTAAACTGTTCCGTAATATCTAACCTCCAATATGGCCGACATGTCAAGGCCAGTACAAAGGTTTCGTTCCTCTCTAACACCAAATCTATGATACAGGCCCCCATTATACTACATCTCAATTTTCATAAGACACTTTTCATATAAAATACAAATTTTATTCTAAACTAATTATGTACAATAATGGGTCTTATGAAATATCGGTGAACAATCCAACTAGAAAAGTTGAAAATAAATACAATGTATCTAAATACAAATTAGGGACATGTCATAATAGATTATTCTATCTTAAATAATTTAACAATGTTTTACGGCAATTTTTAACATCAACTTGAGATATTTCTTATTAAAATGTTGAAGAATTTTAACACATTCAATATTATGGATAAGTAATAGTGAATTTTATATCGTGTCTTTTTCCAGACTCAGTATGAGAAAAACCAATTCACTGAAGCAAAAGGGCCGAAACAATTTGTCATCTTTAATAATCGGTTGTGCTTCGTTTAATTTGTAACGTATAAAATGTAGATAGAAAAAATGTATAGCGAGGATCATTTACCAGTTTATAAATAGAATAAATAAACAATCTAATAAATGTTTAATATTTTTGTTATAAAGAAGTAAATATGAAAACTATATCTTATTCATAAATTTATAAACATTTACTAAATTATTAAAATATGTGAACCAACTATAAAGAAATACTTATTATTTACCATTTTATAAAGTTTGAATCAATTGGCAATTAGCTGATTTTTTGACAACCATTCTAATAAATAATAGTATAAATAAATCATCTAATAAAAAATAGTGTAAATAAGCCATCTAATAAATAAATAATGTAAATAAACCATATAATAAATAGTGTAAATAAGCCATCTAATAAATAAATAGTGTAAATAAACCATCTAATAAATAAATAGTGTAAATGAACCATCTAATGAATAAATAGTGTAAATGAACCATCTAATAAATAAATAGTGTAAATGAACCATCTAATAAATAAATAGTGTAAATAAGCCATCTAATAAATAAATAGTGTAAATAAGCCATCTAATAAATAAATAGTGTAAATAAGCCATCTAATAAATAAATAGTTAAATTCTTTAATAATTGTGCATAGTTTAATTTGTAACGTATACCAACTTAGATAGAAAAAAATTAATCGCGAGGATCATAAAGCAGTGGTCGCTGTTCCCAATCAGATACTCCCAGGTTGGGGGGTTCGATAGGCAGTGCGATGAAGAAGAGACTTGAAGCGACACAGATGTGGTTCTACATAAATGCTGAGAATACAATGGACAGAGCTGACGTGCAGTGAGGCAGTCATCAGCAAAACACAAACAACAAGGATGCGGATATTTACAATAAGAAAGAGATGGATGAAATTTCTGGGGGACATTATAAGGAAAGAGGGTCTACAGAAGAAGAAGCAGGAAAAAGAAAGAAAGAAAGAAAGAAAGAAAAAGAAGGAAAGGAAGAAGAAGAAAGAGAGAAAGAAACGAAGAAGAAAGAAACGAAGAAGAAAGAGTAAAAGAAAGGAAGAAGAAAGAGAGAAAGAAAGGAAGAAGAAAGAGAGAAAGAAAGGAAGAAGAAAGAGAAAAAAGAGAAAGAAAGGAAGGAAGGAAGGAAGAGGAAGAAAGAGAGAAAGAAAGGCAGAAGAAAGAGAGAAAGAGAGAAAGAAAGGAAGAAGAAAGAGAGAAAGAAAGGAAGAAGAAAGAGAGAAAGAAAGGAAGAAGAAAGAGAAAAAAGAGAAAGAAAGGAAGGAAGGAAGGAAGGAAGAGGAAGAAAGAGAGAAAGAAAGGAAGAAGAAATAGAGAAAGAAAGAGAAAGAAAGGAAGGAAGAGGAAGAAAGAGAGAAAGAAAGGAAGAGGAAAGAGAGAAAGAAAGGAAAAAGAAAGAAAGAAAGAAAGAAAGAAAGGAAGAATGAAGAAGTAGTGGTAGTAGAAGTAGTAGTAGTGATCTCTTCATCAATAGCATGAGCGATTGGAGATTCAAGTCCAGTTAAATCCAGAATTTCGATTTTGCGTACTCTGTCTGTCGCAGCTTCCGGTTAATTTGGGTCTCCGTTTATTTGGTTCAGATTAAAAACAAATAAAGTGTGTTTGTGCAAATTTACTTCGCTCATTTGGGTCAACAAGCCGTTTAATTCGATCAATGGGAACAAAGATTCGTAGAATTTTGAATTGTCACTGCAGACTCACTGTTTATTTAGCTTCAATGTGGCTGTAGCTGCTGAAAATAACCTCTTTGACTAAACGCACAAAAAATGTGCCATTTGATAATAGATTTTAAACTCGTATCTCGCCCATGACCATGAATCGAAGACTCTTTGAAAAATAAAGGTTACAGAGTCGCTGATAATAATGGGCGTTATTATAACCGTAGCCAAGGCACTAAATTCGAGATTGGATAAATTGGAAAATATAAACGTATGAAATCTAATAATAAGGGATACTGAGGAAGGTGCTGGAGTTTTCAGTAGATTTGTTGTCGTTCAATCCCCAACGATAATCACCAGACATAAGGTGTGAACTTGCAAAATGCATGAAACATAATAATAAATGACGCTGAGGAAGGTGCTGCACATTTGAGGATACTTGCTGTCATTCAATCTTCAGTATATAATATAATACTAAGGTATACCGAGGAAGGTGCTGGAGATATGAAGAGATTTGATGTCGTTTATACTAAAGCAATATTGGTCAGATATCTGGTGTGGACATGTAAATGTATTAAATATAATAATAATGGATACTGTGGAAAGTGCTGGTGATTTTAAGAGAAATGCCCGTGTGATGGGTTATTTAATGCCGACAAAAGTTTTAGGATAGTTTTGCATGAGTAGAATATGTATTCTTTGTAAGAAATCAGTTTGTAGATCAGGTTTCATTGACGTATTTTTGTAAATAGAATTTTTGTCGCGAGTCAAATGTATTGCTGGTAATATATTTAAAAAAAATGTATTAGTTGTAATATTTAAAAATTTTTTTTCACAAATGTGTTTCTGTTAATATTTATTTATTCAAAAATGTACTGCTGGCAATTGTACTATAAAATATATATATTTATACTTTCATAGTGTTTTGACCCCAGTTTGGGGGTTAACTATTTGCTCATAGCTGGGACCCTAACAGGTGCTACCACCCTGGGTCAGAGTGGACCTGGGAACGACAGCAATTAAGAGGTGCTTCCACGCTCCATAAAACCTCCTGATCAGAGGCCTTGCTACTGGATGTAGTTTAGCGTCATATACAGAGCGATCATAGATATGAATGCTTGTCATTATTTTAAGAAGTAGGCGGGTACAAATAATAAAAATTTGAAATTGACAATTTTTTTCGATTTCACTGAAAAAGACGTTAAACACTTCTTTCTTTTTTTCTTTTTTTTTTCATTCTTTATCTTCTCACTGAAACCAAGTAGCATCTCTGATATGTGTTTTGTTTTACCATGCAATCAAAACGGAATAGTTCATTTTTATGGAGTATTGGTTTTCTCACTGAAACCAAATAGTGTCTTTTCCTTCCTTTCCACAAAACGAAATAGCCCATTATTTATGAGGTATTGGCTGGGCTTAATGGTCGTGTGAACTACCTAAGGAACAAACGAAAAGGGGACAAGCCCAATTATATAATAATAATAATAATAAGTGTCTGATGGTGAATTTCTAAGTGTAGCTTAGGTGTGGCACAAGGCCTAAAGTATAGGGCACCCAGTGAGGATCAAATTCATTATTCAAGCATAATTGATCAGGATCAGCGTTTTTCAAACTTTTAAGCAACGGCCCACCTGAAAATACCATGACATACTTAGCAAACTTTTTAAAGAGTATACATTTAAATATGAAATAAAATAATAGATTTAAAAAATACAAACACAAATAGGAACTTGCTTTATTTAAATGTTTCTATTCAACTATTTGTGCAGGGTATTTATTCAAATACTAGGTATTTACTCTGACTCCCCACTAAGACGTGTTGTGACACAAGGTCAGTTTTTAAGGTGGGGCACCGAATGCGTGCAACCGGGCTGGGAACAAAAATTGCCCACAGCCCCTGCAACCGCCGGTTGCACTGGCCTCGGTACGAGCACCGATCCCTCTCTCTGGTGCAATGAGAGGGCGCGGCCTCGGGCAGCTGTTCCCCAGGGTTGGGCACCTCTCAGTATAATTTTCCTCAGTTGCGACTCTATCATTTGACGGAGTAATTTATTCAAATACTAACGCTGTACCATTACTAATTTCACACACACACACACACACACACACACACACACACACACATATATATATATATATATATATATATATATATATATACAGTGTAACCCGGATATAAGAGAGTTGTCGGGACCGGAGAAGAAGTCTCTTATATCCGGGTTTGGTCTATTTTATATACATTAACACAGGCTCTAATTTGGGACCAGAGAAAATCTCTCTTATATCCGGGTTACACTGTATATATATATATATATATATATATATGCATGTCTTGACGATATTTCGCGGCGCACTTAAGAGAATCCGGCGGCTCACTAGTGTGCCGCTGCACAGCGACCGAGAATCACTGGTCTGGATAGAAAAACAAACAAACTTACTCACTCTTTCTTTCTTTTCATTTTTATGGTTTCCTCACTGAAACCAGGTACTGTCTTTACCCTGCTTTCCACAAAACGGAATAGTCCATTATTTATACTGGGCCTAATGGTAGTGTGAACTAAGGAACTAAAGAAGTGGCGGGGGACAACCACAATTATATAATAATAATAATAATAAGTGTCTAATGGTCTAAGTGTAGCTTATGTGTGGCACAAGGCCCACCTAGTAGCAAACGAAAATAGCGTGGCACACTTAGGAAACTTTTTAAAGAGGATACATTTAACTGTTATAAAATAAAACTATTGATTTTAAGAAATACACACACAAGTTGAAACTTACTTTATTTAAATGTTTCTATTCAACCATTTGTGTAGCTTATTTATTCAAATATTAACGCTGTGCCATTACTACTTCCACACACACACACACACACACATATATATTTATATGTATACTTTGACGATATTGCGCGGCTCACTAGTGTGCCGCTGCAAGGCGATTTAGATCTGGATAGAAAAGCTTGCTAACTTCTTTCATTTTTTTCTATCTTTCATTCTTTTAGATCATTTATATGGTTTTCTCACTGAAACCAGGTAGTGTCTTTTCCCACCTTTTCACAAAACGGAATAGTCCATTATTTATACTGGGCCTAATGGTAGTGTGAACGAAGGAACTAACGAAGATCAGAGTTTCGCAACCTTTTAAACAACGGCCCCCCTAGTAGCAAATGAAAATACCGTGACACACTGAGCAAACTTTTTAAAGAATATACATTTAAATATTATGAAATAAAATCATAGATTTATTAGGTTGGTGCAAAAATAATGACGTAATAATGTCGTTTTTTGACCTTAAAAATCACGTCAAAAAACGACATTATTACGTCATTATTTTGCACCAACCTAATAAAAAAATACACATACAAATTGGAACTTAATTTATTTAAATGTCTCTCTTTAACTATTTGAGCAGCTTATTTATTTAAATACTAACGCTGTATCATTAATACTTCCACACACACACACACACATATATATATATATATATGTATGTATGCCTTGACGATATTTCGCAGCACACTTAAGAGGATCCGGCGGCTCACTAGTGTGCCGCTGCACGGCGGTCGAAAATCACTGACCTGGACAGAAAAGCTTGCTAACTTTTCTTTACAACACGTCCTGATGAAAAGAGGTGATGATAAGAATCTGCCCGTTGTAAAAAGGAAAAGAGTCGAATGAAGATATAATTTATGGATGGCGGATAGCCGCGTTTATTTGATAAGAGAATAAGATGTGAACAAACAGTTTTGATCTTTTAGCAATTCTTTTTTTTTTCACATTAAACTTCGAAAGCAAAGTACAATAGGAACAAAAAAGAAATTCTCATGATTTCAGGGTTGAGATTTCTATTAAACCATTTCCCACCATCTAATGAAATTAGAAGAAAACCCGTCAAAAACAAAATTACAAATTTTTTTGTTAACTGTGTTTGTGTCATACTATTGATAACCGCAGTACAAAGCCCCCTAAAACCCACTCAATGTAGAGTGTTACTGATTAAGCATATTGCAAAGCGAAGACCGTAAGTTATATGCTAAATTTCCTTTCTCGCACATCTCGCTTGTGAAACTTTCTTCCGGCTGCATGGTTATCAGCCAACTTTAACCTCTAAAAGATTAAATGCAATGTCAATCGCTATCTAAACTCTGTTAAGACTGAAAATAAACGCTTTTGACCTCTCTTAAGACTGAACATAAACGTTTCTGAATTCTCTTAAGACTGACAATAAACGCTTCTGAACTCTGTTAAGACTGGAAATAAACGCTAATTAACTCTCTTAAAACTGAAAATTTAAGATTGAGTCACTCTCTCACAGACGCGCCGTCGCCTCTCTCTATCTTTTCTACAAATACTTCCATGGTAACTGCTCTGATGATCTGCTCTCTCTGGTTCCCAGACTCCATGAATTCAAGCGCCCTACGAGGCTGGCATCCCGCTCCCACACTTACACCGTAGAAACCTTCAAATGTAGCCGTCTCTTCTACTCCAATAGCTTCATACCTCGCACCTCTCGCCAGTGGAACACCCTCCCCAATTACTGTTTCCCTGAAAGCTATAATCTCCAACTATTCAAATGTAATGTCAATCGACATCTCCAATTACCTTGATCTACCCACTATCCTTCTCCTCATCCTTTCTTCTATCACTCCTATCTGCTCTCGCTCCAAATCTTCTGCACCCCCCTGCATCCTAGTGGTTTCACACCTTGCTTGGAGCACAATGCTTAAAAAAAAAAAAAACAAAAAAAACTCTAGCCCAGATATGATTGTGAACTTCAGCTATGATCTGACACTTTTAAAGATACGACATGGCAGGAAGATTCACGTAACTTTCTGGAGGAGTACAAAGAACCGACTTTTATTCCATCAATTTTAGTCATGGTACGTATATACGAGGTTTGGTCTGACCTTTAGTTCTAACAGAGATTCCAGTCAAGGACCCACCACTGAGAGCACAACCATTTTAATAACTATTCTCCGTTGATAAATGGTTAAGCTGCTATTCAGGTCGATCACTCTCGTGAGTTCATTATTCTCCTGGTGCTCCACACTTTTGGCCTTGTACCAGAGAATGTTAAAGTGACTAATTAACATCTTAGACGTTGTTTTCTTTGCGTGTCTGTATGAAGTTTATAGCGATGGCGTTCTTAGCGCCTACACAGAGGATTCTTACGACAAATTTCATCAACTTCCTTAAATAACGAACGCATAATAAAAATAAAACTTACACGCGTCTGAAATTGAAGTAGAAAAAAAAAGTGGCAAAATCGAACATCAATCATCTCCGATCAGATATTTTTCTTTTGTGAAGGGCGTGGAATCTGATGGGGGTAGAGATTAGGGATGTCAGGGAAGGAATAATTACAGACGCCAAGCTGATAAAAAAAAATGAAAAGGCCAATCATACTCTGTCTTCTGGTCGAAGGACAGATATTTTATAATCGAGGAAAGTCCCTTTTCCTCTTTCTTTTTCTTCCGTTCATTTTCTTTCTGTTTTTCAGTAGAGAATTCATTTGCCCAGCTTTTCTTTCTTTCTTTCTTTCTTTCTTTCTTTCTTTCTTTCTTTCTTTCTTTCCCTTTCTTGATTTTTTTACCTTTCTTCAAATCGTACCTTCATTCTTTCTTACTTTTTTCTATACTTCTTTTTTTCTTTTTAAAAATATTTTTTCTTTCTTTCTTGATTTCATTTGTCTTTTGTTTCATCCGTGATTCTATTATTTTTTTTGCTTTTCTTTCTTCAAATTATTCTTTCTTTCTACATTTTCTCTTCTTCTTTTGACTTCAAACTCATTCGTTTTCTTTCTTTCTTTCATTTCTCTTTTGTTTCAACCGTGATTTTATGAATTCTTTTACCTTTCTTCAAATCATTTTTCTTTTCTTTTTGTGTCTTTCTTTCTACAAATCATTAATTTTCTTTCCTTCATTCTTTCTTCAAATCATTCGTTTTCCTTCTTTTTTCTTTCTTCCTTTTTTCTTGATTTCATTCTCTTTCTTTTTACCCGTGATTTTATGATACTTTTTACCTTTCTTTCTTTAAATAATCCGTTTTCTTTCTTTCTTTCTTTCTTTCTTTCTTTCTTTCTTTCTTTCTTTCTTTCCTTCTTTCATTCTTTCTTCAAATGATTTGTTTTCTTTCTTTCTTTTTCTTCGAATGATTCGTTTTCTTTCTTTCTTTCTTTCTTTCTTTCTTTCTTTTTCTTCACATGATTCGTTTTCTTTCTTTCTTTTTCTTCAAATGATTCGTTTTCTTTCTTTCTTTCTTTTTCTTCACATGATTCGTTTTCTTTCTTTCTTTTTCTTCAAATGATTCGTTTTCTTTCTTTCTTTTTCTTCAAATGATTCGTTTTCTTTCTTTCTTTTTCTTCAAATCAATCGTTTTTTCTTTCTTTCTTTCTTTCTTTCTTTCTTTCGTTTTTTTTCTTTCTTTCTTTCTTTCTTTCTTTCTTTGTACACATCACATGTTTCTTATTCTTTCTTTCATTCACTCAAATTTTCATTGTTTCTTTTGTCTGCTCTTTTAAAGCATTCACCTTTCTTTTCTTTTTTATTATTTATTTTTTCTCTTTTTTGATCACATTCACTTCTTTCTCTCTTTCTGTTTCTTTGTCTGGTTGACTTTCTTTCTTTCTTTACTTTTCTTCAAATTATTAGCATCTTTCTTTCTTTCTTTCTTATGCTAATATTTTATTTATCTAATTTATTTATCCCACATATTTATTTTTCTTTTCTTTATTGCTTTTTTCCTTTCTTTACCTTCTCAAGATTTCCTTCTGTCTTTCACTATTTCTTTTTCTTCCCAAATTTTTCTATTCTATCTTCTGAATCACCCAAATTCGTTGCCTCGATTTCATAACATGACCTCTTTCTCCTCTCCCACTCCGCGTCCGCATTTGGCGACAAGAAGGCAACCCAGTATTTAAGACTCTAACGAACCAAATTTACAATCTTATCTTTTCAATATGGCGTTGTCTGAAATGCTACACTTTTTTTTAAGAAAAAATTCGAATCTCAATACACTTTCGTGATGGAGCGAAGGCAATGACGTTTTTTGACCTTTGTTTTAAATTTCTTTCTTTTTCCTTCTTTCTATTTGACATATTATTCTACTTTTCTCTTTTTGTTGCTATTAGAAATCTCCGTAATTTCCTGTCTCCTCTTTGTCGCACATTCTTCCTTTATCTACAGCGCCCACTTAGTATATGGAAGATGATGGACCTCCACAACTTCCTAACCTACGGTTTCGTTCGATCACGGAAATCACGCAGCGCCGAAAACCAGCTCCACTACTGAGATGGGGGACCTCTTGGGAAAATCGAGAACTGCAAGCAACCTCTGACAATCCAGAATATGTTTCAGCTTTTGATAAGCCACAAAGGGTTGATAACCTGTAAAATTAAAACAAGTCAATGAATGAATCTCTTCCCTGTTCTGCTATCCACTTACAGAAGCTAGTTAGATAGGTTACTCCTTCTGTCTGTCTTGCCTATATAATGTCCTTGTGAGATTCAAATTTTCGAAGCCTTCTTTCCTCATTGTGTGCCCAAGTAATTGTGATAGTCCGTTTCTGATTTTAGCCATAATTGTCCTTTTTGTTTGCAAGTGTCCATAAAGCTTCATCGTTGCTTACACTCTCCATCCATGATTTTCTCAGTATCCTTCTGTAGAACCACATCTCTGTCGCCTCAAGTTTCCTCTTCATTTAAAAGGAAACTGCCATCTAGGAGGATTGAGCTTACAGATCTGTTCAGGACATTTTTAAACGAAATTCAGTCAGTTAGGCAGTTATGTGCTATGTATTATTCACGCTTAGGCGATCATGTATTTTTCGATACATGACCGACGCAGTAGATTTTTTTTCCCAGCTGTAGGTTGCCATGTCTTTTTGTGTCAGACCAGTTGTTATCCAAGGCTATAGAACCCGGTCTGTCCTGCTATTTACCCATAACGGGAGGAGGGGAAAAGAAGAGGATTCATACTTTTCCCAAGGGTATTAGCACGTGAGTGAATGTAATGGATTTGACTTGGATTCGAACTCGGCTCTCCGATTTCTCAATCCGAGCCGCTATTCATTCCTCCACCGTATCTCCGAAATTACCTTTTCTTTTTGTTCTTTCATGAAATGTTGATTGGTTCCATCTGGACAATGTCCTTTCATTTGTTTTTTCTGTCGTCCTAACGGAAATATCACAATCATTCTTTGGCAATATTTTACAAAATAGTGTTTTAAAATGGAGGTTAAAGGTTGTTGTTGTTGTTATTATGTTAAATCTTTTTCTTTCTTTCTTTTTTTCTACAAATCCTTTTTTTTCTTTCTTTCTTTCTAAAATTTCTTTTCTTTCTTTCTACAAATCCTTTTCTTTCTTTCTTTCTTCCTACAAATCCTTTTCTTTCTTTCTACAAATCCTTTTCTTTCTTTCTTTCTTCCTACAAATCCTTTTCTTTCTTTCTATCTTTCTTTCTTTCTAAAATTTCTTTCTTTCTTTCGTTCTTTCTTCCTACAATTCTTTTTCTTTCTTTCTTTCTTTCTTTCTAGAAATCCTTTTTTTACTTTTTTCTTTTTTACAAATCTTCTTCTTTCTTTTTTTCTACCTTTCTTTCTTTCTACAAATCCTTTTCTTTCTAAAATTTCTTTTCTTTCTTTCTTTCTACAAATCCTTTTCTTTCTTTCTAAAATTTCTTTCTTTCTTTCTACAAATCCTCTTCTTTCTTTTTTCTATCTATCTTTCTTTCTTTTTAAAATTTCTTTTCTTTCTTTCTTTCTTTCTTTCTTTCTTTCTTTCTTTCTTTCTTTCTTTCTACAAAACCTTTTCTTTCTTTCTTTCTTTCTTTCTTTCTACAAATCCTCTTCTTTCTTTCTTTCTTTCTTTCTTTCTTTCTACAAATCCTTTTCTTTCTTTCTTTCTTTCTTTCTTTCTTTCTACAAATCCTTTTCTTTCTTTCTTTCTTTCTTTCTACAAATCCTTTTCTTTCTTTCTTTCTTTCTTTCTTTCTTTCTACAAATCCTTTTCTTTTCTTTCTTTCTTTCTTTCTTTCTTTCTACAAATCCTTTTCTTTCTTTCTTTCTACAAATCCTTTTCTTTCTTTCTTTCTTTCTTTCTACAAATCCTTTTCTTTCTTTCTTTCTTTCTTTCTTTCTACAAATCCTTTTCTTTCTTTCTTTCTTTCTTTCTTTCTTTCTTTCTTTCTTTCTTTCTTTCTTTCTTTCTACAAATCCTCTTTCTTTCTTTCTTTCTTTCTTTCTTTCTACAAATCCTTTTTTCTTTCTTTTCTTTCTTTCTTTCTTTCTTTCTTTCTTTCTTTTCTTTCTTTCTTTCTTTCTTTCTTTCTTTACAAATCCTTTTCTTTCTTTCTTTCTTTCTTTCTACAAATCCTCTTCTTTCTTTCTTTCTTTCTTTCTTTCTACAAATCCTTTTCTTTCTTTCTTTCTTTCTTTCTAGAAATCCTTTTCTTTCTTTCTTTCTTTCTTTCTACAAATCCTCTTCTTTCTTTCTTTCTTTCTTTCTTTCTTTCTTTCTTTCTTTCTACAAATCCTTTTCTTTCTTTCTTTCTTTCTTTCTTTCTTTCTACAAATCCTTTTCTTTCTTTCTTTCTTTCTTTCTACAAATCCTCTTCTTTCTTTCTTTCTTTCTTTCTTTCTTTCTTTCTTTCTACAAATCCTTTTCTTTCTTTCTTTCTTTCTACAAATCCTCTTCTTTCTTTCTTTCTTTCTTTCTTTCTTTCTACAAATCCTTTTCTTTCTTTCTTTCTTTCTTTCACTTGTTTGTAAATTTTGTTCTTTTCTTGTGTCATTCTGTTTTATCTTTAAACTTCATTCCCTTTGTTTTTTTTTCTTTGGTTTTATTTCTTGCTCTTTCTGTCAAATCTTACTCTTTCTTTCTTCCTTCCTTCACAGGTTACTCATCCATTTCTTTCTTATTCATCCAATTCACTTTCTTTCTTTTTTTCTTTCTCCGTTTTCGTCTTGCTTGCTCTTTTTGTCAAGCCTCTTTTCTTTTCTTTTCTTTCTTTCTTTCTTTCTTTCTTTTCATGCTATGGCATGTTTCTTTCTTTCTCCGTTTTATATTCTTTTTCACTAAGGATTACATGTTACTTTCGTTATTTTTTCATTCCTTTCTTTCTCTATCGGCTAAGTCTTATTTTGTTTATTTGTTTCTTTGTTTCTTTCTTTCTACTCGCGTATGTGTGTCCTTTCTTTTTTCTGGTCTTCTTTCCTCCCTTCTCGTCTATATCTTCTTTCTTTCTTTCTTTCTTTCTTTCTTTCTTTCTTTCTTCTCACTTATATATGTATTCTTTCTTTCTTTCTTTCTTGTCGCCTATTTATTTTTAATTTTTCTTTATTTTCATCTATGAATTCTTTCTGTCTGTTTTGCTTCTTTCCTATATATTCTTTCTTTCTTTCTTTCTTTCTTTCTTTCTTTCTTTCTTTCTTCACTCATTCGTTAGTCTTGTTCTTTATTCTTGTTTTTCTTGCTATACTTAATGCCCCCGCCAACGCCATTTCTCATCATTTGCTGATTCAGATCATTTGTAAGGAGAGAAAAAAAAACCTCATTACAAAAAAATTTGCAGAATGAATAAGATTAACAGATTGCAATTTCTTTTTACACCCAAATGTTTTTTTCCCTCCCTCCCTTAAGACTGTTATCCAAGAAATGAGTATCGTCCAGTATCGTAAAATCACTTCACTGAAATGTCTTTTATCACATCTCGACGGGAGCTGCCTAATCCTCACCTTCCAGCCTCGTTCGAATTTAGAAGCATTTGTGCAGCCTTATGGGTAATGAATTATCTTCTAGCCTACAACTCCTTTCCGCTAGACCAGTGATTCTCAATGTGGTCTAGGTGGACAGAGAATTCATAGCCATAAAAAAATTTGTAGCCATTTCACAAAAATGTATCTAAATTAATCATATTTTGAAGAATTAAAAAAATAATACTTTGTTTAATTACACACACATTTGAAAATTTCGAAATTACGTAGGTATTATGCAGTGCTATATTTCTTTTATTATATATATATATATATATATATATATATATATATATATATATATATATATATATATAAAAAGAAATATGTAGTAGTTCCAACGAGAGAAAAATATGTATATTAAAAAAGAAGAGAGGTGCCGCAAACGTTTTTGGTTGTAATGTGGATTTATTTAGAAAAAAAAATATTATGCTTTATTTTTACATAATTTTACGACACGTGTTTCTGGTCTCTGGTAATCCGAATTTCTTTTACCAACACAAAAACAGAGAATGTCTCATATCGAGAATATTTAACATTGAACATAAGGAAAAATTAATTATTTTTAATATGTGGAAATCTCCGCTTTTACCTGAAGACGGTCTTGAGACCAGAAACACGTGTCGTAAAATTATAAAAACAAAGCATAATATTTTTTTTTTCTAAATAAATCCACATTACAACCAAAAACGTTTGCGGCATCTCTCTTCTTTTTTATATTTTTATATATATATATATATATATATATATATATATAGTATATTTTTATTATATATATTTATTAGACCTAGAAAATTATGAGCCAGGAGATGAAAATGTTGAGTTGACTGAAATGTTGCTGGATTTCAAAGAGAATGCGAAACTGAGAAGAAGACTTGGCAAAGAAGGTGTCATTGTCTACATATCGATAAAGGACTCACACCGAAATATTTTTCAACATGTAGAAGCAAGCATTATTTCTTTCCCTCCCACATGGATGGTGGAATCTGGATTTTCGGCTGTTGTGGATGCTTTCAGTAGAAAAAGAAATAAATTAAAATCTCAACAGCAAAGGAACTATCAAACTAAGACTGAATGACATCATCACAATTGATTATGATATCTTGTGTGAGAAACACCAAGATCAATGTAGTCACTAGCTGAATGGACTAAGACTGAATGACATCATCACAATTGATTATGATATCTTGAGAAACACCAAGATCAATGTAGTCACTAGCTGAATGGACTAAGACTGAATGACATCATCACAATTGATTATGATATCTTGTGTGAGAAACACCAAGATCAATGTAGTCACTAGCTGAATGGACTAAGACTGAATGACATCATCACAATTGATTATGATATCTTGTGTGAGAAACACCAAGATCAATGTAGTCACTAGCTGAATGGACTAAGACTGAATGACACCATCAAAATTGATTTTGATATCCTGTGTTTATCTTTGTTTACTAAAATAAATTTGAAACTGCAAATAGACTACTTTGTCTTTTCACTGAGTATTTTAGTATGAAAATTGATCAGCCTCGAAATAAAAGTAGGAGTGGTCCATTTTAAGATTTGGAAGAAGAAATGGTCCATCGGCTAAAAAGTTTGAAAAGCACTGGCTTAAAGTCTTGGAGATTGTAGTTGGCAGAGAAGCAATCTGAAAGGAATTCCACAGGAAAATATGCGAGAAAAGAAATTATTAGAATAGAATATAGGGTTGCATCTAGGTAGTTCAACATTTAAACAATGAAACCTAATTGTCAATCTATTGGCACATTTATTCCAAAGAAAGGCAATGAAGAAACTGGATGCATGAGTACCCAAAATATGATTGAAATGGGGTTTGGGTAAATGCATTGAATATATTGTGAAAATTTGAACAGCCGAAAAGTAAAAGTAGAAGTGGTCCATTTGAATTTAAAAAAAAGAAGGTCCATGGGCTGAAAAAGGTTGAGAAGCACTGCCCTAGACGAAAAATAGCTATGCACTTTTTCTCTTTACTCTTTTACAGCAACCTCATTCAGTAACCCTATCCCACCTCTTTAGTGCAATGAGGGACGTACTACTGCGGGCAGCGGTTTCCCCGAAACCGAGCACATCAATGTTTTCAGTAGCGTTCTGTCCACAGACAGGGATACAACTGCGTTGCGGTCTGTCCGAAGACAGGGATACAACTGCGTTGCGATCTGTCCGAAGACAGGGATACAACTGAGTTGCGGTCTGTCCGAAGACAGGGATACAACTGAGTTGCGGTCTGTCCGAAGACAAGGATACAACTGCGTTGCGGTCTGTCCGAAACAGGGATACAATTGAATTGCGATCTGTCCGAAAGCAGGGATACAATTGAATTGCGATCTGTCCGAAAGCAGGGATACAACTGAGTTGCGATCTGTCCGAAGACAGGGATACAACTGAGCTGCGGTCTGTTCTAAGACAGATACAACTAAGAGATGAAATGTAGCTTATCCGCCCAGAGGCAGATATTACACTTTGATCCCAACTAAAAGGCCTGGAAAAAACGGCGGTCGCAATAAAAATACCATTTTTCAGACGAACAGTATCGAAGGACAGAAACCGAATAAGGCAATCGCCAAAAATCCAATTACCATAAATAAAATTATTTTAAAATTATTATTAACAAAAATGTTCGGAAGACGGAAATAATCATAATAATTCTTATAATAATAATAATAATAATAATAATAATAAAATGCAGGTTCTGTGACAAATACCAAGAAACAATAGACCATCTAATCTCAGGATGTTCTAACTTGCCCCAAATGAATATAAAAATCGTCACTGGGGCAATATAACTGGACAATGTGCAAACACTTTGGAAAATGTGTAAGCAAACACTGAGTATGAACATCGGCCAGCGCCGGTTACAGAAATAGAAGATGTCACCATTCTATGGGATTATACCATCCACACAGACAGAAAAATTGAAGCAAATAGGCCGGACATTATTGTCAAAAACCAGAAAGAAAAAACTTGCCTACTAATTGTATCCAAAATAGCAACCAAGGAATTTGAAAAACTATCAAAATACAAAGACCTGGAAATTGAAATAGAAAAAATGTGGAAATTGAAAACAAAAAACCAGTGGTAATAGGTGCACTTGGAATTATAAAAAATGGAACAAAACAACACATTGAATCCCTGAAACCCCAACTTAAGAGACATACAGAAAAATTTCTTTTACAGCACACACACTAAGGAGAACTTTGTCTATGTAACTTAGCAACTTCATCGGAGATAAAAAAAAAAAAAAAAAAAAAAATTAAAATTAAATGTGGCCATAACAACACACCACGACCTGCCTTAGGTCTTTCAGACTTAAATAATAATTATAATAATAATTCTTTAATAATAATTTTTAAATTTTGTAACATCAGTAATAGTAATTGTATCAAAAAAAAAGTCTTCCAAAAACTGCACTTGCGCAAATGAATGCTTTTTTTTTATGTTGCTGTATATCAGAAAAGTTATTTTATTTTTTAAATTTTGCTTCAAAATTCTTTAGCGATTCATCTTCTTATTTGTATGCCGATAATCGTTCTGTCGATTCTTTCCCTTCTTACGTTTTTCTTTTCTTTCTTGGAATAGAGACGGGAAGGAAATCAGCCGATGGTCATAAATTATTTTGACTCCCCTTAATTAACTTACTGACAGTTACTGTGTAGTCTCTTCTATTTTAACGAATTGCAAGATAACCCGAACCATCGCTGGTTATTGTTTCTAAGAGTGGCTACTGAGTCATAAATCTATGTATGGTACAAGATCAAGAATATGCAGAAACCGCCGAAAAACAGACGAACTGCAGTCGTAACAATTTGCTAGACTAGCTTACTGACCACTACTCTATCCCGAAGAATACCAACGCGTTGTTCAGGTTAGTCTGGCAAAAGACGGATTAAAACGAATCATAAAAAATAATAGAGAAAATTCTTAAATGAAACGCAGCAAGAATAAAATGAAGTACAATTAGAAATAAGATCGTTTCCTACTTTTTTGCGCACCGTGTCCCTTCGGGACGTGAGCGATCGTGGTTCTTCACAACGTCCCCTCACCATCTATCTAGCCCCCGTTCTGTTGTTTAGGTTACTGGCGATTTCCATTTGTTCCTCTTCCTTTTAATAGGTCCTGTGAGTGCCAACATCTCCAAGCCCTCTTTCCTCATAATGTGTCCTAGAAATTTCGACTCTCTTTCTGAACCTAATTACAAGTGTCCGTTTAATTTCCCCTTTCCTTAGAACTTCCTTGTTGCTTAAATGTTCTGTCCATGGCATTCTTAGCATCCTCCTGTAGAACCCCATCTCTGTTGCCTCAAGTGTTTTCTTCTTCTGTGACAAGACTGACCAGCAATATGGGAGGACTGATATCACATAACGTCTCAACATTCACGTCTTTGTTTGTAACGAACTTTTCCTGTTTCTTAATACTTTGTTTAGCTTTTGGAAGGCATCTTTTGCTATTTCAATGTCGGTGTTAAATTTTTGTGTCACCTGTTATAACAATTCCAAAAAGTTAAATGTCCGTACTTGCTTTATTTTGATTTTTTTTAATCGGTATCACCCCAAGGAAGGCAGTAAAGCCACTAAGGCACAAGGGGTTACAGGATGTGAAGGAATTAGGAAAAGAAATATTAGTAATGAGCAGAAAGAGGAAAGTATAATCAGGAGGACAGTATATAGCGATTGACATTGCATATACATATTTGCAGATGTAAAGCATGCATCCGGAAAGGAGTTCCACAAGCGAGAAGTGCAAGAAAATAAATTTACGGCTATGTCTAGCAAGCTCAACTGTAATTTAATGAGATCTCGACGCCAGTCATTAGATCATTTGCGCTTAAATTTAAAAAGTCTAGGTACCATAGCGAAGAACGATATTTATTTCCGTTTCAATACAGAAAATGTGACACAAGGTCAAAATGGGGAAGGGGGAAAATGGACGGTTCTCGTCTGTCTTAACTTTAAATTTAGCTAGCCACAAACACTGACCCAAACATACCACAATATTCCTTACATCAAAACAACACATTCTTATTTACCTTTCTTACTACATTCACCGTAATACCTCATTGTCTCTATGAAAATCCTAACTAGGCCCCATATGTACAATTCATTGTCTGTTGTGGGAGGGGAATAAAACGACAATTTTAAAACTAGCCCCAATGAGTATTTACAATATGAGACCATAGCGAAGAGCTCATCCGAACAATTACCATGAAAGTATTTATAGAAAAGACACAGAGAGGCAACCTTACGGCGGAGGGCAAGTGACTGAAGTCGTGTTGTCAGATCAGGACCAATAATATTGCTGATTCTTCTTTGCATCTTATCAAGAATCTCCAGGTCTGCTCTCCGTTATAATAATACATTTTCTTTTCTTACAAGTGAACTTTAGTTTTTTCTTCAGACTGTCTTTTATTACCTTGCATCGGCGTTCTTGAAGTTTCTTTTCTTATTTTGCCATCGTAACACTGTCATCTGCACACACCAGTTCTGTCTTAATAGTAAGTCTAATCGGTTCGTTGGCAATTGATCTAAAAAAACAAAAAAAAAAACAAAAAAAAACAAACCTACATTCTGTTGTTAACTAGGGCAAGGAATGACTTGCTAATTTGAACACCTCCAAAACGAAACTGCTCTCTATTAATTGTCTGAGAGAACTTTTTTTGCCTTCATTCAGCATGGCTGATGCTAACCTTTTTGAAAGTAATCCGTTGCGCCTTCTCGAGTGAACTGATATGAAGTGGATATATTATATTGAATCAATTGCTAGATCTACTGCTAGGAAAGTTGGTTCACTGTATCATGCTAGTCAGAATCGGTCTTACATATTTATAAGTCTAGCATTCGTCCATGAATTGAATATTGCAGCCACAGATGGTTTGGTGATCCTGTCATATTTAGAGATCCTTGATAAACAAAAAAAAACAAGAATCTGCAATGTTATTGGTCCTGAACTGGCACCTCGGCTTCTGTCCCTTTCCCAACGTCATAATGTAGCTTCTCTGTGCCTTTTCTATAAATACTTTCATGCTAATTGTTCGAATGAACTTTCCTGTATGGTAGCTAGACTCTATAAATGTAACCACAGTACTAGATTGGTGGCAAGATCTCATCAATTTACATTTGAAATCGCTAGATGGAACCGTAAGTTCTATGCTAACAGTTTCTTCTCTCGCACTTTTCGCCTGTGGAAATCTCTCAGCTTTCTGCTTTCCAGTCAAGCTTGGTCATCAAAAATTTAAATGCAATGTCAATCATTATCTTCTGTCTTCTTTATTCATTTTCTTTTTATTGTTCTTGCTCTTTGATAATGTTTTTCCTTTGTCTCATATTCTTTCACGCTCAGTAACCCTATGTATCTTAGTGGCTTTGTTGCCTTGCTGCGGTGAAATGATTAAAAAAAAATCTTACGTTGCTAAAATTGGGTCCGCCGATAATAAATCCTGGTAGGACATCTAGTTCTCTTATAATCAACCCAGTTCATCTGATGAATAGGTTTGGTGAGAAGACGTTTTATTGTCCTATGCGTCTTTCTGGTTTTGTATACTTACCTAATTCGTCTTTTATCCGCATTCAGTCGATTTGTTCCCATATTATGGATTAGACGGTGGAGTAATGGATAGCGGCTCGGATTGAGGAATCGGAGAGCCGAGTTCGAATTCAAGTCAAATCCATTATATTCACTTACATGCTTGGGAAAAGTATGAATCGTCTTCTTCTTCTCCTCAGCTATGGGTAAATAGCAGGGCAGACCGGGTTTTATAGTCTTGGATAACAACCGCAGAAAGAAATCAACCGCGTGGAAAAAATCTGCCTTGTCAGTCATAAGCGTGTATCAAACATATCACATAACTGACACATATCTCTTATAAGATACGAATCATATCTCGTTCTCGTTAGATAACTCATATCTCGTTCCCTTTGTATTCCATGGATGAGAATTAAGTTCCACTTGAGTACCTGCTTCCTACCAACTGCTGCTTTGTGGAACCGACTCCCAAGATGATGCTTCCCCGATCACTACAATCTGAACTTAAGTCAAGAATTAGCCGTTATCTTATCTACATTTCCCCATAAACTGTGCCTCTTACTCTCTATCCTTCTACCTCGAGTGGCTCTTTAGCCTTGTACAGAGTGAACATCATTGTAATAAAAAATCAAGTTTTCCCCGCAGTTCAAATAGATCTTTGTGTTACATTCTGTAATTTTCGAAACAGCAAGAAAATAATAAGAATGAAAATGATTCATCTAGATGATAAAGTTTTTTTTTGTTGTTGTTGTACAAGCCTGCATTATATCAATAAGCTTTTCCCCCACTGTCCTTATTGTGTACTAGTGACCACCAAGAGACCTATGAGAGACATTCGAGAAATCCAAAGACTCTCCATCGACCATTCCTGAAACAATCGCCGAATGTGTGCCTTTCGTAGCAAGCTAAAAACAACATGTCGCCTATTTTTGCTATTTTTTTTCTTTACTTTTGTTATTTATTTTCATCTCTATTAGACATACTCGACTAAAGATCTTATATATTGGCGTTTGGGGACTATTTCGTAAGAAATGAATAAAAACAAAGAACAAACGGAACATATTCACTGAAAATCGTACAAAAAGAAAAATTAAATAAGTACATAAAATCTCCCAAAAGGCCGGACATGTTTTGTTTTTTTTTTCTCTTGAAAGAAAAAAAATCTCTCGAAAAATCCAAGCCTCTTGGCGAGCAGACGATGTCGAAAGAATCGGAAAAGTCATTTATCAAAGCATTTGTTCGCTTGGCTGTTGCAAAATCTACGAACGGACATTTGTATTTGATATGGCATAGTCCATGAAAGAAGCAAATAAAAATAAAATAGCGGCCATATTCCTTAGGGGACTTAAAGTGTTCAGACTTAAAGAAGTCGGTCTCAGGCAAAGGTATTTTTTCAATTTTTTTTTTATTCGTAGAGAAAACGTGAACTTGTGTTGGTAGCGGGGGCGTCAAATGAGGGATAAATTTACAAAAGACAAACGACAAGGATGGAAAAGAGTTGAAATATGCGGAGAGAAATGAAATGTGTGTGTGTGTGTGTGTGTTTGTGTATATGTATTACATATATATGAAGAAAATTTGTATTCATACTGTCTCCTTACATATATACATATACATATATATATATATATATATATATACATATATACTTACATACATATATATATATATATATATATATATATATATATATATATATATATATATACACATATACATATATATACATATATATATATATATACATATACATATATATATATATATATATATATATATATATATATATATATATATATATATATATATATATATATATATATATATATATATATATATATATATATATATATATATATATATATATATATATATATATATATATACATATATATATATACATATATATATATATATATATATATATATATATACATATATATATACATATATATATATATACATACGTATATATATATATATATATACATATATATATATACGTATATATATATATATATATATATATTATATATATATATATATATATATAATCAGTTTCTTCCTATAGAGATAGATTCAGACAAATACATAAATGAAGAATTTGAAAGAAGAAATAAAAATAAAATATATATATATATATATATATATATATATATATATATATATATAGAGAGAGAGAGAGAGAGATGGATATATTTTAATAATAATAAATATACATTTTCTTGCTTACTGGTAGCAACTCGATCGATATATATTATATATATATATATATATATATATATATATATATATATATATTTTGTGTATATGTGTGGTTATTCACAGACAAAAATTACATATATACACCGCCATAGAGTATATGGGGAAATCAAGTTTTATACGACTTTAATGTTGATATCAAACCTTCAAGACAGATAATGAAGAAAATTAAAAATATATATCATATATAATTGTTTGTTTTTTTTTTGTTTTTTTTTTTTAATATATAATCATCTTGACACCGGAATTCCCCTGTTTCAAAACTAAAACTTTAATTCAATCATAAAAATTAAACTTAAAATACAAAGTTCCGTTCCATTCTCAAGCGATGCTAAGATTAACTTTTTTAGAAATTGATTTAATTTATAATCCAGACAAATTTGATATTTTGAGATGTTGGAGTTAAGGAAAATTCAATCTTTTTTATTTTAGGGGTGTTAAGATTTAACTTATGTACCTAATGTCTAGTAGCTATCAAGTCGGTCAAGTAAAGGTGGGAGTTGGGGTATTTGTCTATTGATACAAACTTTGTTTTTCAAGTAGAAATTTGAGGCAGTGTCTATGTTCCAACACATCGTCGGGGTTTCAATAACAATACATTTATGATATATATAAGTGGACTTTGAAGTCAACACCAAGTGGCGACAATCTGTTTCCTATTTAAACGTAATCTTAAAAGTAATAAGGCCTGATGATTGCGTGGAAGCATGGAACAGACTGAGGCAGCTCGGTTCTGGCTTCAGTAACCACTTTTATATTTAAACGCGATCTATCTATCTATCTATCTATCTATCTCCGTCTATTCAGAGTTCTACTCCGTTAATATCTATCTATCTATCTATCTATCTACGTTAATTTTGTTTCTATCTATCTATCTATCTATCTATCTATCTATCTATCTATCTATCTATCTATCTATCTATCTATCTATCTACGTTAATTTTGTTTCTATCTATCTATCTATCTATCTATCTATCTATCTATCTTTCTATGTATCTATCTATCTATATCTTAATATTCAGGTCAGTATATATAGTTGCATGATAAATATTGTTAGTTAAAATATCAGAACTTCTATTCGAATATGAGTATCCATAAAAAATAACGTTTGAACAAAATAAATTAAAAATAACAATATGTTGGATTTAATCCATTTCCGAAAAATAAATTGCCTTTCTTTACGTTGAGATACGATACGGAGCAGATACGGATGTTTATAGAATCGACAGAGAGTGTATGTTCAAAAGGCACTATTCGTGCATTGTCTTAACGGAAGTCTTACGTGGCCGAGCGATTAGGCACGTCAGGTACAATTAATGGTTCCCCATAAGGGATGCAGATTCGAATCAATTTCTTTTTTTCTCGAATATTCAGGCCGGTAGATATAGTTAGATAACAAATACTGTTTAATTAAAAAAAATACGAAGCCTCTGCTCGAATATGGGTATAACATTTAAACAAAATAAATTAAAAATAACACACACACACACACACACATACATACATATATATATATATATATATATAAACATATTTAAATACGCTCTATCTCTGATATTGAGCACTTTATCTCAAATATAGCATACCTTAAAACTATATTTTTATATATATATATATATATATATATATATATATATATATATATATATATATATATACATACACACGTGTGTGTGTGTGTGTGTGTGTCTGAAAAGTGTGTGTATATAAATATAAATAAATATATATATAATTATTTACATATTGTATGCATAGTACTTATTCAGGGTCACAAACTCACATCAATCCAAATATATATATATATATATATATATATATATATTTTTTTTCCCTTCCTATCCGAATTGTCTGTGGTGTGTATATGTCACCACGAAATGTATCTTTATGTATTAAACATCCGTCGACTTTCTTTTTCTCTCCTCTTTTTAAATCCACCCCACCCACATCTCCAAAATTCTCTCTGTCACTCATCCTCATACTTACACTTTCTCTAAATTCTGTTTTGATTTCCGGGTTGTTTTTTTCTGTTTTTTTTTTTGAATTTGTAGGTCTGATGATTTGGATCGTATTTACGATTCAATGGAATAAATTATGACCATGGAATATTAGTGTTTAAGCCTTTTTTATTATATCCTTACTCTGTCTTAGACATTGAGTTCTACCTGGATCCTTCCTCTTGGAAAATTTTTTTTTTTTTCTGAAAATATACATGTATGGGATTTTTTAGATATATTTTTCATATGTATGTATATTTTCCACTAATATATATATATATATATATATATATATATATATATATATATATATATATATATATATAAACATATTTAAATACGCTCTATCTCTGATATTGAGCACTTTATCTCAAATATAGCATACCTTAAAACTATATTTTTTTCATATATATATATATATATATATATATATATATACACGTGTGTGTGTGTGTGTGTCTGAAAAGTGTGTGTATATAAATATAAATAAATATATATATAATTATTTACATATTGTATGCGGTACTTATTTCAGGGTCACAAACTCACATCAATCCAAATATATATATATATATATATATATATATATATATATATATATATATATATACATGAAGTCAAGAAAATTATAATAATTTCTCTTTTACTTACATTGAGCTCTCTTTGGATTAATGTCATCCGTGGAAATACCAATTGGTATTATATATATATATATATATATATATATATATATAGAGAGAGAGAGAGAGAGAGAGGGGAGGGAGGAGATTAATACAAATTTATCACTTAACTGATTGATATTATATTCAGCATCTCAATTCGTAATTGTTCGCTCCGCTCATCAGGAGGATTCAGCAATTCATAGTTAAAAAAAAATATATTATGCGCTAGTCATTGGCGTTTTTTTCTTTGCGCCTCTGTTTGTGTGTGTGTGTGTTCGTGTACGCATGTGTATGTATTCATACAGAGTTAAATGCACGCAGATATATTAGATATAATGCACTGACTATCTATCTCAGTCTGTTGATATAATGTCCATTCTCATCTAAGTCTGATATATTAGATATCTATCTATCTATATCTATCTCAGTGTATATATATATATATATATATATATATATTTGAACAATAAGAAAATTATCTATGCAATTAATATTCTTTCGTTTTTTATTTATTATTGTCCATTCATCATAAGTCTGAACCTCCTCTATCTCAAATGCCGAGGACTGAACCAATAAACACAGAATTATCTATCATGAATATCAGGTATATCGGGAATATATTATCTATCTATCTAATCTATAGGTAACTACGCGTTTCTAGCATCTCGTAAAATTAGAAGACTTCTCCAGGAGCTCATGCAGGATACCATGCAGTTCTGTAAGAAAAACATTGCAACAAAAGTACCTATCGATATATATATATATATATATATATATATATATATATGAATCTCTGTTTTGGTTTCACTCTATAGATAGATATGGAGCAAATAAAAGAAAGCCATTTTTAACGAAGAAGAACTAAACGAACAGTGGGGGAAGGGAGGATGGGGGGAAAAGAATTTGACTAATTTGTTTTTTTTTGTTTTTTTTTTTGTTTTTACCTATTATCAGCTTTTTGTGGTTTATTTAAACCCGAAACATTGGATTGGAAGAATAATTCTTTTTTTGGCAAGTGAATATTTCATTAACAATCTTTTGAGAGCCACAATTATTTCGTCTCGATATATGTCCTACTAGTTAACCCATGGGAGAGGGGCTTATACCTTTCCCAGGGGTATTTGCTTCTTAATGAATGTAACAAACCTGAATGGAAATATTTGAAGAAGAAGAAAACAAAACAGCAATATGAAAATAGAACAAATGCAAAATCTGACAAGGCAATAGGGAGAGGAAAATAGAAAGAAAAGATGAAGCTAATGAGAGGAAAGAGAAGAGGAAATTAGATACAGTAGGTTGCGTCCTTGATAAGGCACTTGATTGCGTATTAGTGGCGACAGTCGTCGATGTTCGAGTCCTGCAAAAATCAAAGAGGGATTTCAAATATAAGATCTTGCCCTTATCATGTTCTGGTATAATACGATCTTCCCATCTCTCTTCCTCCTACCTTTTTTTATCCTTGTGCCATTCTGGTAAACTAAGATAAATAAAAGAGAAAAAAAAACCCCAAAACAATGAAGACATGTAGATATAAGAATGCGAATGTTTAAAAAAAAAATGGAGGAAAAAGAATAAAAAATGGAGAGTTAGAAGGAAATCGGAAGGAAGTGTGTGTGGGTGTTGTATGGAAGGCTGGAAGGATAATAAATAAAGAAGACAAAACGCAATTGGTTGGTCGGTTATGGAAGAGACAGAACAAAGGGAATGATATTGTACAGAAACAGACGACGATGGATCAAGGAGTGTTTACGAGAATGGCGACGAGTAATGTGGACGTGCAGAGATGCACAAAACGGTGCAAAACCAGTTCTTTATTGTCGTTTTTTTTTTCTCGAATCGTCTATTTTCTTCGTTGCCAGCGATAAATCTCTACTTCCGAAGGAAAAAAAAATCGAGTACAAAATACACTAGATAATTAAAAGAAAAATGTTAAAAAGACATGGAAAAGAAGGATAAAGTATGAGAAATCAACGTTTAGATTTTCTTTCTTTCCTTCTTACTTTCTCTTCACTTAAAAACCTTTTTTCAAAGTCATTCGTTTCTTTCTTTCTTTATTTGCCTTTCATTTCTATTACGTATACTTTCTCTTTCTTTCTATCTGTTACGTCATCTCTTTACGTCATTCGTTTCGTTTCTTTCTTTCTTTCTTTGTCTTTCGTTTATATTACGTCAACCTTTCTTTATTTCTCTTCATTTTTTCTTTTTTCATCACGTTATTCATTTCCGTTCTATCTTTCCCTTTCATTTATATTACGTTTTCCTTTCTTTCTTTGTCTATTCGCTTCACTTTCAGTCCTTTCTTTCTTTACGGCATTCGTTTTCTTCTTTTCTTTTTCTTTATTTGCCTTTCATTTATATTACGTCTATCTTTCTTTCTTTCTTCTCTCTTTCCTTCGTTTTTCTTTCTTGCTGTTCGTTTCACTTTTAATCCGTTTTTATCATCTCATTAGTTTTCTTTCTTTCTTTCTTTCTTTGTCTTATTTATATTATGTCTATATTTCTTTCTTTTTCTTTGTTCTTTTCACTTTTAATCCGTTTTTTATCACGTCATTCGTTTTCTTTCTTTCTTTTTCTTTCTTTCTTTTTTCTTTTTCCTTTATTTTCCTTTTCATTTATATTACGTCTTTCTTTTTTCTATTCTCTTCACTTTTTTTTATCCTTTTCTGAATCATTCGTTCCGTTTCTTTATTTATTTACCGTATAATATGTTTTCATTTCTTTTTCTTTCTTTCTTTCTTTCTTTCTTTGCTTTTCATTTATATTAAACCTACTTGTTCTTTCTTTTCACTTTTATCTTCTTTGTTTTATACTTTTTATCCTTTTGATTCTTTCTTTCTTTCTTTTTTCGTTGACTTTCATATTTAACAATTCTACCTTCCCTTATTTAATTTTCTTTCTTTCTTTCTTTCTTTTTCCTTATTGGGCGAATTTATTTCAATTTTGGTTCCGTTATTTTATCGATATATATTTCTCCATTGCTCAAAACTTTATTTTTCTCTTCGATTTCGTTCTCTTTTTTTTTTTTTTTTTTTTTGTTGTTGCCTTTCTTCTCTTTCGCACTTCTGTCCCTCTTTCTTTCTTTCTTTCTTTCTTTCTTTCTTTTTTAAGTTTATTTAACTTTTTTCTTTATCTGCATTTCCTTTTTCTTCCTCGGCGCTGTTTTCCGCCAGGAACCGACCACAATAAATCTCCAACGTCTGCCGGAAGTACCATCCCATAGCCCAGTCAAGAAAGAACCCGGATGAGCATACTTAAAGATGTCTTGTCCAGAAAAGACGGAAAGAATTCTTTGTGCTTGTACTGTTTAGATGGTGAGCCAGTTGGGGAAAGGATCAGTAGACTTGTAGACCTGCCAACGACCGAAGAACAGGTCGGTGCCGATGATGCGAGCCAAGAATTTTTTCGGGTGGAAATAATTCGACAGTTAAAGGATGGTCGACAAGTGACACTGCCAGAAATCGTACAGTTTGAATCTAAATGAATGTACCAGAGCGCATGCGTACGAACGCTCACGCGCAAGCACGCGCATGCGCAGATAGATACTCACAGATATTTTTTGCTGGAAACTTTTGCACACAAATCACAGGTTGATCACTGTATTGTTTTAAAGACATCAATAATGCAGTTTCTTTTTTTTTCTAACATTGAAATTTAAAAGAAAAAGATGGAGACGGCATTGAGGAAAAACTAAAGAAGGATATCAAATGTAAGAAAGAAAGAAAAAGAGTTTAGAAGAAAGAATGAAAGAAGGGAAGTTAGATGAAATAAAAGGAATATCGAAAATGAAAGAAAAACAAAGAAAGAAAGAAATTTAAAAGAAAGAGAATAATATAGAAAAGGAAAGAAAAAAGAAAGAAAGAAAGGAAAGAAGGAAAGAATTTAGAAGAAAGAAAAGGAAGTTAGAAGAAAAAAGAAAGAAAGAAAGGAAAGAATGAAAGAATTTAGAAGAAAGAAAAGGAAGTTAGAAGAAAAAAGAAAGAAAGAAAGAAAGGAAAGAAGGAAAGAATTTAGAAGAAAGAAAAGGAAGTTAGAAGAAAAAAGAAAGAAAGAAAGGAAAGAAGGAAAGAATTTAGAAGAAAGAAAAGGAAGTTAGAAGAAAAAAGAAAGAAAGAAAGGAAGGAAAGAAGGAAAGAATTTAGAAGAAAGAAAAGGAAGAAGAAAAAAAGAAAGAAAGAAAGGAAGGGAAAAAGAAGGAAAGAATTTAGAAGAAAGAAAAAAGGAAGAAAGAAAAAAAAGAAAGAAAGAAAGGAAAGAAGGAAAGAATTTAGAAAGAAAGAAAAGGAAGTTAGAAAAAAAAGAAAGAAAGAAAGGAAAGAAGGAAAGAATTTAGAAGAAAGAAAAGGAAGTTAGAAGAAAAAAGAAAGAAAGAAAGGAAAGAAGGAAAGAATTTAGAAGGAAGAAAAGGAAATTAGAAGAAAAAAGAAAGAAAGAAAGGAAAGAAGGAAAGAATTTAGAAGGAAGAAAAGGAAGTTAGAAGAAAAAAGAAAGAAAGAAAGGAAAGAAGGAAAGAATTTAGAAGAAAGAAAAGGAAGTTAGAAGAAAGAAAGAAACAAACAAAGGAAAGAAGGAAAGAATTTAGAAGAAAGAAAAGGAAGTTAGAAGAAAGAAAGAAACAAACAAAGGAAAGAAGGAAAGAATTTAGAAGAAATAAAAGAAAAGAAAAGAAAAAATGAAGGACAAAAAGAAAAAGAAGCTAGAAGAAAAAATAAAGAACGAAAGAATGAAAAGGAATTTAGAAGAAAGAACAGAATAAATTTAGAAGAAGGAAAAGAATATAAAAAATGAAAGAAAAAGAAAGCAAGAAAAAAAAAGGAATTTAGAAGGAAGGGAGGAATTCAGAAGAAAGAAAAGAATAAGAAAAAATGAAGGACGAAAGAAAGAAAGAAAGAAAGAAAGAAAGAAAGAAAGAAAGAAAAGGGAGTTAGAACAAAGAAAAAAGAATGAAAAAGAATTTAGAAGAAATAAAAGAAATTCAGAAAAAGAAAGAAAAAAAGGAAATAAAGAAAAGGAATTTAAAAGAAAAAAAGAAAATATTTAGAAGAAAGAAAAGAATATAAAATATAGCAAGAAAGAGAGCAAGAAAGAAAATGAAGTTAGATGAAAGAACGAAAAGGAATTATGAAGAATGAAAATGAATTTAGAAGAAGAATGAAAAAAAGGAAATAAAGAAATAAAGAAAGAAAAGGAATTTAAAAGAAAGAAAGAAAAAGGAAAGAAAGAAATAAAGAAAGAAAAGGAATTTAAAAGAAAGAAAAAGGAAAGAAAGAAATAAATAAAGAAAAGGAATTTAAAAGAAAGAAAGAAAGAAATAAAGAAAAGGAATTTAAAAGAAAGAAAGAAAAAGGAAAGAAAGAAAGAAATAAAGAAAAGGAATTTAAAAGAAAGAAAGAAAAAAAGAAAAGGAATTTAAAAGAAAAAAAGAAAGAAAGAAAGAAAGAAAAGGAATTTAAAAGAAAGAAATAAAGAAAGGAAAGAAAGAAATAAAGAAAGAAAATGAATTTAAAAGAAAGAAAGAAAAAAAGGAAAGAAAGAAATAAAGAAAGAAAAGGAATTTAAAAGAAAGAAAGAAAAAAAGGAAAGAAAGAAATAAAGAAAGAAAAGGAATTTAAAAGAAAGAGAGAAAACCCAAGTTGTTATTCCCGTTTCTTTATTTTCTTAAACCTTGAAATTAATAACAACCGGCCTAGACTGAGAAGTCCTACTAAAGAAGATTGTGCCTCTGACAAGAATCGAACCTTTAACCTTGTTTCCATTTATCCAAAATAAGTCTTTAGTGATGGAAAAGGGGATACAGGTTCAATTCCTGTCAGAGGCACAATACACTACCACTAAAAAAACAAACAAATAAAAAAGAGATAGCAACTCAAATATTTGCACCCCCTAAAAAAATAACGTTTATAGTAATAAAGAAAAATCAATCAATCTCTCAGTCTCAATCTGTTCATTATTTATCCATATATCTATTTATACTTTTCTTTCTGTTCGTCTTTCTCTCATTCTCTCTCTCTCTCTCTCTCTCTATATATATATATATATATATATATATATATATATATATATATATATATATATATATATCCCTTTCTGTCTGTCCGACTATATATATATATATATCAGTCTTCTATCTATCTATCTACACACGTGGACACAGAGAGAATGCCAAAGAGTGCATAACACAAACTTCTTGGAGAAAGGAACTTTTCTGGATTCCAAAGCGGTGTTTTGGAATTCTTATTCTGCTGACAAACTCTTGTGCCAGAGGGAAATCCATTAGCATTTCTACAAACAAACTTATTCCAGATTGACAGTGTGACAGTTACGCACAGAACGGAATAAACAAACAAGAACTGACAGGTAAATATTCATAGGAATCCAAGGAAAAACTTCTGGCAACATAGGTAATAAAGATTTGACAATTCAATGGATCACTAAGAGAATCCGTCCCCTCTGCTAAATAAGCCGAGATAGACATGGCATGTGAGTATTACTACCCCCACACGCAAACACATATAGATATATCCATAGAGGCAGTGTTACAATCCAGTTGCAATGTTTGTGGTTAGTTAGTTGATTTTACGATATATTAAATCTTGCTAGGTCCCGGAATGATGAAAACATACGTCGGTGTTATATTTGAATCCAGAATTCGTGTTTTGGCGCTATTACACATTCCCCCCACCAACCAATATTCGTTTTTGATTTTTCTGTTCATATTTGATCTTAAGAAATTCTTTTGGAATCACCGTTCTGTAAACACGTTGCTTTCTGTCATTCAGTAATTGTTTGCCCCGGTTACGACAGTCTGGACTGATATGTGGGCCTCGTACAAAGATTTGATAAAAAATGGGTTCAACCATGACACTGTCAACCACACTGAGAACTTTGTGGATCCTAACACTGGAGTCACCAGGAATCGAATTGAAGCAATGTTCACAGGCTAAATTTAAGGCCATGGATGGCCCCACCAACAGGAGGATGATTTTTGAGTACCTGGTGGAATTTATAAAGAAATATCGGAAAAATCAATCAATCTCTCAGTCTGTTCATTATCTATCCACATATATTTATTCATTTTTTTCTTTCTGTTCGCCTCTCTCTCATTCTCTGTCTATATATATATATATATATATATATATGTCAGTCTTTTATCTATCTATCTAAGTCTGTGCATTATCTATCTATCCATCTATCTATCCCTTACCGTCTGTCTGTCTGTCCGTCCATCTCTCATTCTCTTTCTCTCTCTTTCTCTCTCATATATATATATATATATATATATATATATATATATATCAAACAAGAACTGACAGGTAAATATTTATAGGAACTGTTTGATGATTCGCCTTTTTTCAACTTCTGGTATCAAATTACCACAGAACTTTATCAGTTGTCGCGGGAAAAACAGGGCGGTTAGGAGGTGCGAAAGATTAGAGTCCAGAAGTAAACATAGCAATGGCTATGCTAGAAGTTTCCTTACATTCAGAACTTATTGACCGAGCAGCCAGAGAAAATGTGGTACAGTCCGACTTCTTTAATCTTGTACTCCACGGTCCGGAAAATCCCATGGTCGGGCAATTTTTGAATCAGACGCCAGTAGTTCTTTGAACAGCTACGAGAGTAGCATCTCACGTTGTTTATAACATTCCGCAGCAGAATGTTTTGCTGATACGGTCTTACTCATTTCTTATATATCGCTGCATATTT